GGTTTATTTTCTTACAGATGCATATTTAATATGGTAACTTTTTTGTATCGGAATTACACAATTTAAGCAAAACACAAGACATTGCGATCTATCAGATATTTTTGTATGTATGTATATCTATCTACAAGTTTTAATTCTTATCCCTTGATTTTACATTTGAGGAAAGTGTCAGGAGGAATTTTTGACACTCCTAGAGCGTGGCAACATTCTGAAAAGCAGTGTGCTTTGTATTTTCCAATTAAGATTGAAATCAGACATGTAATCCACCTGTCAACAGGGAGCTGAGACCTGAAAAATCAGGGGTTTGTTGGTTTTTTAATTGTCTTCCTACGTCACTCTGTGGGGCTACACTTCCTCTACACTGATAGTCAAACCAAAGAGGGGACACCGGCATCAAATAGATACATTATGGTTTCACTTTGAGAGAACCCAGTTTAAAATTAAAACACTCAGATAGGAGCTGTAGAGTACCTTTCACTGTATAGCACCTTGGCCCATCAAAAAGAGGAAATACACAACATCCTCTACAGTCTCAGAAAGTTCCTGATGCTCCTTGCCCCTTCAGAAAGCACAGGGCCTACCTATCGTAGCATCGTGCGTTTTAAGACACATACTAAGAAATTCTGTTCTTGAAGAAAAAAAGTTTGCCTGATACTTATTGCATTTAGCTACTTAGTTTCCCTTCCGACACACTGCAAACAGAAAGGGCACTTTCTGGGTCTGATCCTGCATTTCTAGCATACTCAAAACTCCCACTGAAGTCCATCAAAGTGTGCCGTACCTGGAGACTGCAGCATCAGGCCCCAATTACTTCCTCATTACTCAGTGAAATCTTACCTAAAGGTTTAATTATATAACTGGAACAGATATATATATTACCCTCTTTTTATTTTTTTTCTCATCTGCAAGATGTCAGGAATTTGCACAGGCCATGCTTTGAGAAGAAATATTAAAGAAATATAAAATGTCTGGATGTCCAAAAGTACAAAATAAAAGTATCTCCTCATTTGAGAGCTGAAAGGCTTAATATTCAGGCTAATATTTCTCTTCTACAGCTAAAGCATCGGGTTTCTAATCTGTCAACAGCCCTTTTATAAAAAAGAGATATATGTATATCTCTATCCATTTTTAATTATATTCTATAAATGATGATCTGTATATTATTACCTCTCAGCTGCAAATTGACTAGAACAGATAAACAAATATCAAAAAGACTGAGGCCCTGATCCTGCTCTCGCAAAAGCCAGCGGAAGGGGAGCCATAAATTTCTATGGGAGAATTGCTAGGCTTCAAAGTAGGTTTGTGATCAAGGAAGAATTGTGTGGCACCAGGTGAAGCCAGGTACAAAAGAAATGTAATTAAAGTACAAAATATTATAGTATGCTCAAAACAAGTCAAAAACCCTCCATATTTTGCGAGGATTACATTTTCCAGATTTGAATAGCTCGAAAGGAAAAAAAAAAGGATTTGTTGGCAATCTCGACAGATTTTTTAGGCTGAACACAGAATGCAGGATAGGGCCCAGAATGTTTATATTGAACAATAATAAATTGTCTGTGCTGGGAAACTCAACTTGAACTGCAGCTGGAAAGGTTTCTTTCCTCTTTTCTATTTTTTTTTTCCCCTAACTGATCTGGTTCAGCCAGGGCATAGCTGTAATTACCTTCTTCCCATCTACAGCTAATACCTCAGAGCTATAAAAAAATATGAGGGTGTTAAAAATTCAAACACTAATTATGGGCTGTTATATTTACTAAACACAGCAGAGTAATAACAAAAGTTTCAGATTCTTGTGGCCAGCGCTGCACTATTTGATCTACCAAGTCCCTGGACCCTTTACACTTACTGTATTACATAACAGTTAATAGCGCACTAAAATAAAATTCGATAAACACATTTATTACCAAACACATCTAGCACAACCGCTTACAGCTGTCTCCTTTTTCCAGCACAGGTATATCTCTGAAGAGTTCATTCCTTTGTTGATTTTGGTTTTGGTTTCCAATTAAGTTATATAAAGAGTAGAGCAGTAGATTTTGAAAAGGGAAGCATGCGCTATTTGAGTACCCCATTTAAAGTCTTACGGTAAATATTGGCTAATCCTACAATTCTTTCCGTTACTTTCCCTTATGTCTGTTTTCAGGTCTAGCAAAGGAATAAAACCCTTAGCTCCTAGTTCAGCACTGCCACTGTCACCACTACCACCCCTCGCATTCACATTAAACACACAGAGTGTAGCTTTCTACCACTTAATAAGAACAGAGGTGTATGGAATTTTTAGGTGTCAAACAGCTGTCACACACTCTCACCTCCACAAGAGAAACCTTGGCACACAACAAATTAAACTACACTTCTTTTTGGCTATCATTATTCACAGCCAATCAGTTGAAATGCTCCTAGTATTTCATGTGCAAATAAAACCATGAGGGGAAGACCCATGGATCAGAATAGTGGGCCAATACATAAAACAGAGGAAACAACATGCTGTCTCTGTCCTTCTGAAGTGGCTCATCATCACCCCTGCACCAACTTTCACCAAATGAGATCTAGCCTGAGGCTATATATTAAATATGCATATCAAAGCAAATGAAAAAATAAACCTGGGGAGTCAAATTGGACAAATTCGCATGCTTGAACTACTACATTTTCAGGTAGATGCTCACAAATGATAGCTCATTTTTTTGAGAGTTGCATGTTTACATGAGCCATTTTTAAAAGCTTTTCCTTCTTTATAAATAAAATCGGATTTCTTC